GGCAGTCATGATACGGCGACCTGCAGCTCGTTTGACACGTGTTCGATACGGTTGAGGTCTCATGACCGGGCTGGCCAATTCATGTGGACAATGATCTCCTGTTCTAAGTAGGCATCAATGACTCTGGCACGACTATTATCGTCTATGAGGATGAAGTCCGGTCCGATTGCACACCCAGACGGTCATCCCTGTAGCGCATACCTGTCATCGAGCCCCGCTGTAGGACATTGATCTTCCAGATCTACTGATCCAGCACGGGCACGACAATCTGTGAAGTCTAGACAGTATCTCGATTCATCAGTGAAACGTACTTGAGCCCAGTCCTGGTCTGTGAAATTGACCAAGACTGATCTTCAGCCGAATCCAAACGTGCCTCCCTCAGATGTCGGGTCAGTGGGATGCGAATGCATGCCCTCCGTGACCAGAGACCAGCCTCACGGAGATGATTACGCACTACCTGAATAGAAACTTTGACGCCACTGGCATTCCACAGGTCATTTCTGAGTGTGGTGGCAGTCACGAAATGAGGACGTCTTACCGCAATCAGGAGAAACCTGTCTTCCTGCTGTGTGGTGGAACGTTGTCGACCACCTGCATGTCGCTGAGTAGCTGATACAAACGTATGGTACCGTACGTTAAAGGGGCATAAGTGCATTCACTTTGTGGACATCGTTCCCATGACTGCATGCCTCTGACCGTTCACCATGAAACTGGGGCCCTATAGGGGTTACCCAATCATGTATATCATCAAAACTTCATCCTTGGCAAACTGTGAGTAGTAAAGTTAACAATACAGTCTGTAATGAACAAAATATTTCCACCCGAGGCTCCAAACTTGGACAGTTTGATACATGGTAGTTAAAAGTGTAACTGGTAAATGAAAAAAGTGAATGTGTCCAGTTGTGCCCGAATAATCAAATGTTATCGTGTTCATGTGACCATATTTTCTGAATAAATGATACATGTACATCTTAAGTACGTATAAAGTTTATGTAATTTTCATCATCTTTGAAATTCACATTGTTGTCCTAAAATATTCCAACATCGCTTCGTTTTCAACTGTTAGTTTTATCAGGTCGGGTGCGTGTGGTCGAAAGTTGATCAAATTCGTCAATACAAAAGACAAACCGGAGGGGGTGCGGGTGACCCTATCGTGTAATGCGATGCTGGTCCTCTGATCGTGGGTTCCAATTCCACATTTGTCCAAATAGAGAATGCTTATTAAAATCTCCCTTTCTGAACAATCGTGTTTAACACGGTCTGTACTGAGCGGACTGCCAATTAGGATAGACCCGTGAAGATCGGGGTTAGAATTGGTCTTCAGCAACCTATGCTTGTCTTAAGAGGCGACTAACGGGATCGGATGGTGAGGCTCGCTAACTTGGTTGATACATGTCATTATATCCCAAATGCGTAGATCGATGCTCCTGATGTCAATCACTGGATTGTTTGGCCCAGACTCGTTTATTTTACAAACCGTCATCATAAAGCTTGAATATTGTGTGCAGCGTTAAACAACAAACACATATTTCGGGTAGGGTGGTAGTCAGTGACAACTAGCTCACCATTCTTGAAGTAACCAGTTTCTCTGTCCTCAGTTTTCTCTCTTGATTTGTGAGAGAAACAAAACAAATGTTCCCAGAAATCGGACAAGAGAAATGTTTACATAGCAGAAACAGTATTCGTAAACAAGGACGTTTGCAAGGTTAGAATGTAAGGAGAATATCATGAAATGAACCGATTAAATTTTCGCTCTTTATCAAGAATCAGGTCGTAGTCTGTCGTCACGATGAGGTCGTCACGAATCTCCTTATCCGAGACTATCAGACATTCCAAGCAGAAAAATAGAATAAGGTTTGGTTTGTGTTTCTTGAAAGACTGTGGCCTTGTCATTTATTGAGGAAGATATAACATATAGCAAACTGGGGCATCTATTTAGATAAAGTGATTTAATAGAAATGATTTGTAAGAAGATTTGTAAGAAATGTTGCAGGATATGAAGTCATTTACTCAAAAGCGGTGTAGTATGCTCAAATGACTCCCCCTAAATTTGACTCTAGTGTCATATGGGCTAAGTCTAAGTTTTTGAAGTTGTGAAAAGTGATATTTTGAATATAACACTTGATATTTCGCTGCAGTGAACATAACACTTTGACCGAGCTAGTGTCATACAAGAGCTACCTCCCCGCAAATTTGTATCCCTTTATCGTAAGTGTCTGGCCCGTACACAAACTGTTGACTTTCTTGTTACGTTAGTGAGTGAGTGATTTTGGTTTTACGCCGCAATATTCCAGCAACACCACGGCGAGGAACACCAGAAATGGGTTTCACACATTTTACCCATGTCGGTAATAGAACCCGGGTCTTCGGCGTGACGCGAACGCTTTAACCACTAGGCTACCCGACCGCCCCTTGTTACGTTTGTTCCACTTTGACAAGATGTGTAGTTGCAGGCCGCTTCGTCAAAGAAGAGAGAATATGGGGGGTGGGGGATCCGAATATTCGAGATATTTACATATTTACAGTTCTGTAAAATCTTGTGTCAGATGGAACAACGAGTTCATACATTATCTCTTAGTTCTTAAACAAGGATGTATTCTTTGTCCACTAGCATTCTCCTTTCTCATAAATAAACTATCATTGTATATATCAAAGCATGTGAAATAGGGTATACAGCCGTTTCGTGATATTCAATATTTAATTATTGATGTTTGCAGAATAATAAATGAATCAGATGATATCATTCTTGCATCCGACACAGTTCCTGATCTTCAGAACCATTTAAAAATTATGGCGTTATACAGACCCCTGGCAAGACATATAACAGTAGTGTTGTGGTGTGAAGGGGGATATTTAGGAATTCTTCCGAAAAGAGAACTGTATTAATGATATGTCATTTAGACATAAAAGACCCCTGATGTAAGTTCAAGTAATTTTAAATCTTGGCATTATCTTTTTACATAATATCTGACATGCAAATACCACGTATTCTGTTGTGGTGGAAAATAGGGCATGCACATATTTGGTAAACTAGACATTGTACATATAATTGCCTGGAAGAGATGTTTGAAAGTAGGTCCCCCGATTCCAATATCTATTGTCTATGGAGAAGGCTGTTGATACCTTTTTTATATTAATGTTATATGTGTAAGACATTGACATAATTGACCGTATCCACTTAAATGTTTATTAAATGCAGTGTACTTAGATAACCGTGGATACAAATATTACGCACCAAGCATACACCATATGCTATTTTCGCAAGGCCTTGATTCTGTACTATTTGGTTCATTTATTAAGTCTTTTGATGCAGATGGTGTTGATATGTCGTTTCAAGTTTCGACATTTACTATACGTATAAAGAGAAAAAAAACTGTTGGAACCCAGACACTTATCTTGCATGTATAGTGAGTGAGTAGGGTTAAACGCCGCTTTCAACAGTATTCCAGTTATATCACGGCGTGTCAGCTTAATGTGGGAGGAAAGCCCTAAATGATGCAGGTAAAACCCACGAGCACGGGTATGGTGCTGACAAACCTAGAAACATCACCGGGGTGAACCGGGATTCGAACCCACAATCATAGGTTTCTGGCGTCTCCAAGTCTTGCGTTGTTTTCGGGTAGCCTTCTATTGTGGTTAAAGCGTTCGCTCGTCACGCCGAAGACCCGGGTACAATTCCCGATATGGGTTCAATGAGTGAAGCCCATTTCTGGTGATATTGCTGGAACTCACTCACGTGAGTTGTTTTCAGTCCCCGGCCTTGAAGTAAGCAGTCAGACCATTGTTTTCCAAATCGGCTAGTGTCTCGGCAAATGTTTGTTCAGGTCATTAGCCACTCCGATATTTGCAATTACATTTTCGTCAGTGAGAGAAAACTTAGCTATACAATGTAAGTTGGCGTGGTTTATACTGGCGTAACTGTCTACTACCGATCCGATGCGCACGTACAACATCAGGGCTTTGCCAAAGCTTTGTCGTAACGTCATCGTTAAGGACAGAGACGATTCTGTCTTTACAGATATCAAACGATTCATCCTGTTGTTCTGGTACACCATTAAATATAATACTATCTCGTCGACTAAAGGTTTCTAACCTGTCGACCTCAGAGCCTTGTCTCGACAAGTAAGTTTCAATCCGTTCAACTTTATCGTTAAGTGCGTCGATCATTCGTGACCAGCTCGTGTTATTCCAGGACAAGCCGAATGGCGACTCGTGCCCCTCTCTCATGGTCATATATGCGACCGGGTTCCGTCTTAGCTCAAACGGGCATACCTAAAACAATTGTCAACTCGTTGAATAATGGTTCACATGTATTTCCCCATATATTAAATATATTTCAGATGCAATTTAAAGCACATTTGGACATGCGGAATTATACAGCATGATTGAACACATTTAACTGTGTCTTGGGTATATTTTTAGATGCAAGACAAATTTAAAATCAACAATTATTTATTTCTGAGGGATTCTTTAACGAAGAACTTGAAATCATACGCGCATTCTGACTGGTTTGTCGTATTTTCGCACATAACATTTATAGATAGGGGGACGAGTCTTATTGCAGGTTACGGAAAGGGGCGAGTGTTGACGAATGTGCGTCGATATCACTGTATATGGCACCCTGCTCATGGCTAACTCTATCAAGATCAATAGCATGTCTGATATTGCGTTTTCTAGAGACGTACACTTATTGCTAAGGTCAGTGAGAGGGGTTTTAATTGCTTTCATCTCGGTAAACAAAGACTGTCTTGTTCGAAAGTATGTTTCTACATGTTTTGTCATTCGAGTTTGAAAACGATTCTCAAAATGTGGGTTGGAATGCCATTCCTTTTTAAGTAATATTTTACAAACGAGAGCTCCAATGCAAATTATCAGGAAAATACACATCTCAAAAACTTCTTTAATACGTCTCTTTTAAAAATAAACTTCATCGTGTCTTCAACTCACAAACCATTAACACACAATGGGCAGATAACTGTGTATATCTCTGCTTACCTATTTGACCAGCTGTCCAGATAGCTGTCTTTCCCATTTATAGAACTGCCCCAGTTTCTCTGCCCTACCTTCACTTGCAGCACTAAGTCTCAGCACAGTAGCTTGAAGCTGAAACCATGAGGTGTCTTATTATCGCAGCCCTTGGTCTGGCTACTTTAGGTAGGCCTTCATTTTTACTTTAAAATAACGATAAACTAACTGTATCTTCATTTTCAGTAAATGTTTACAAACAATTCTTCTGGAAATTGTACTGGTAGAGCAGCACATGCTAACCCTTTTCGCGAACACCCGGTGTTATCACTGGTGTTCAATTATCCATTCATATAAATTTCACCACTAATTTGCTTTTTACGTGCAATGGTATCTGTTTTGGAATAGATATTCTCTATTGTTGATGTTTTATCTATCTACTAAAGTACGGCCGAAAAATCGTGAAAGTTATATATTTCCTTATAACTATCTATATGACTATATATGTAGCTATTTATATTTACTTAACATAAACTGTTTTCAAGTACCAGTGTTAGTTATTAGAAGTGAAATTAATTAGTTATAAAGGATGACGAAATGCCATTGATAGTATCGATACAAATATTGTGAAACATTACCGTTCGTCATCATTTTGTGTCGACAATGCGCCTTGTCTGAATAGACATGTGAGGCTCCATTGAGAACATTGTCAGACAATCAGCGTTACCCCGCTTAATTATGGGAAGGAATATGTACACGCGTTACAGTATTATAAAGTTTGTACCACTACAACAGTAAAGCTATATCTGAACCACTATTACAATAGTAGAGTAAACTACGGTTATAACGAACTCAAAGGGACCACTAAGTTTAGTTCGTTACAACCGTAGTTCGTTATAATCATATATACAGCATATATATAGCAAATGTTTGGACAAAAAATAAGTTCGTTATATCCGTCAGTTCGTTATAAGCGTGTTCGTTATAAACGTATAGTTATACAGTATTATATTAATAGCAATAATGTTTTAAACATTGCAATACTATTGTATCAGTACAGTGCCCCTGTAGTCACCCCTATTGACCATGATGTTGGGGAACGGCATACTGTCTTATACCACCCAGGGAACATTCAGTTTGCGAAAACAGTATGGGGAATTTGATAAACCGTTGGCAATGAATATCCAACCAATATTTCGACCAACAATGTTGTGTTTCAAACTCGATTTTGACATATGAATGGTTGTCAAACGTTTGTTGGTTGCCTTCAGTCAACCAGATACTGCGTGATATGGCGTCAACCTTTGAAAGGAATGAAGAGAGGCTATGCAACAACAACACACCTTAGTAGTGTGAAAATACAAGTTGGCAATCTGTGTTCTTCTGTTGTCCGCGTGAAGCCGCCTATACAATAAAGTCACATTTCAAGTTGTAGCAGGATCACGAGGGATTTATTCTGCCTCTCAGAAATCCACGTGCAGCCTGTTTTGCTCTTGGTGGGGTATAAGATATTTATTCCCCGCTTAGAAAGTTATTGTTATTACCCCGCAAGGCGGGTTACACAGTATTTTATCAAGATCACGAGGACATCCTCATCACTCTGACATGGAGGTATGATAAGTGGTTTTATGCGTCCCGCGTTAGCCACGCTCGTGGTATAAAACTTGACACGGGGCGCATAAAACCACATATCAAACCTCCCTCGTGATACTGCTACAACGAATTTACCTTACCGACATGTTTTAAAAGGACATTGTGAAAGGATTAAACCAAACTCAAAATTGATAGAAAACAGCCGTTCGATTGCTTTCATTGACTCTGTTACGTGCAGATTCCCAAATTTAAACAATATGTTAACCCAGAAATCTGTACGTAAAGAAACTTAGTGTGAAACCAACAAACAACCAACAAGCGGTATACAATCAACAAATGTACTACAACATCAACCTGGTTTACAAATCAAAACAATTACTGCACAGCAATTACATTGGCAGAACACAATAGGGCGGTAGTACAATACTCAATGACAGTATATAATATGATGGCAGTGGTCAGTATCAAATACAGTAGTGATAGATCAAGTCAGTGATAATATATATACCCAGCAGTGACAGTGGTCAAGCTTCCATTATGGGTTAGGATGATGAGCAATCCTCACTTGGAAGCTGGTTCCGATATGATGAAATTGCATGAAAGATTCGTAAACACGCTATTGTTGTCCCCTTATATACTACCACCGAGAAAGTTCCCTTCGGCATTAGAACATTAAAGTATTTTCCATAACATGCTATCACCGTCCTGGGTATACCGGACTGTCAGTTTACACACCACACTGGCATCTAACTTCCTGGCGACTGATCACTGTCTAAACACAATACAATGACCGTCTACGGAATCTCAACAGAAACAATGTCACACATTTACAATCATTGTTGAACAATAAATACACTGTCATATTCGGAAATAGCGAGGTATACAGGATTTATTACTCCTCTCAGAAATCCACATGCAGCCTGTCTTGTTCGTGGTGGGATATGAGGGATGTATTCCCCCGATAAAGAAATTGTTTCCCTCCAAGGTGGGATACATAGTATTTTATCAAGATCACGTGAACCAATCAGATCTCATCATGGAGGTATGATAAATGTTTTTTGTAGCCCTGGTTGATGCCGAGGGATGCCAGGGCCATGATACCAGCACCTGCAGGCATGAAAGCTGCGACGCCCTCTCGACCTTGGCTTGTGTGAGGGGAACCTGCACGTGCCTGGTGTCCAGCTGTGGAACCCATCCAGGTATAGTGATTAACATCGTCTTTGTGTTTAACATCTCATTTGTGTTTGATATCTCATTTGTGTTTAATATCTAATTTGTGATTAACATCTTATTTGTGTTTAACATCTCATTTGTGTCTAACATGTTCTTTGTGTTTAACATCTCATTTGTATTTAACATCTTCTTTGTGTTTAACATCCCATTTGTGTTTAATATATCACTTGTGTTTAACATTTTATTTGTGTTTAATATATCACTTGTGTTTAATATCTCGTTTGTGTTTAATATCTCATTTGAGTTAAGCATGTTCTTTGTGTTTAACATGTCATTTGTGTTTAACATCTCATTTGTGTCTAACATCTTCTTTGTGTTTAACATCTCATTTGTATTTAACATCTTCTTTGTGTTTAACATCCCATTTGTGTTTAACACCTCATTTGTGTTTAAAATCTCACTTGTGTCTCATTTACTGACGGTCCTGCCTTACCGTCTCTTTAAAACAATTATGTAAAGGGACTTCACATTTACCGATTTGTATTGAGGTCTGCTACAAAATGGCGTCGGCATTTGAGAGAAGTGTTTGCATGTGTGTTTGTTTGATACCGCCCTATATGGACTATAGCTCTGTAAATAATTGAGTCTGGTCTAGACAATCCGGTGACTGACATCATGAGCATCAATCCCCGCAATTGGGATACGATGACATGAAGTCAACCAAATCCTCAAGCCTGGTGCGTTTAGTCGCTTCTTATGACAACCTCATATTGCTGGGAACCTTTATTCTTACCCGGATATGTATCGTGTTAAAACATTAGTTGGCAAACATTTAAGAAGTTTATGTTTGCAAAGTAATGTCGCCCGTGTGAGGCCGTCTTAGAGTAAGTGAGGAACATGCATTCAGAATACTTATGTGTATTGTTTTTTTGTTGTTTTTTGTTTGTTTGTTTGTTTGTTTGTTTTTTTGTTTAACGCCGCATTCAGCAATATTCCAGATATATGATGGCGGTCTGTAAATAATCGAGTCTGGACCAGACAATCCAGTAACTGACATCATGAGCATCGATCCACGCAATTGAGATCGATGACATGCATCAACCAAGTCAGCGAGCCTGACCACCCGATCCCATTAGTCGCTTCTTACGACACGGGTCTTTTTCTGTTAACATATACAAGCCCGCGTATACACGTAATTAAATGTCCCGATTGGTAATTGCTTTGAATATTACCTGCTTCCAAGTAATATCCACTTCTCGTTTGATAGAGGGATGCCATACAACCGCCAATCACTGCAGACACTATGCTAGCCAACATAACTGCCCATGTGACCACTCCTGGCACTGCATCGACAGCAGTTGCCAGTGCGGGTATCCCAGGTAACGTTTCTGTCAACCTACCTATCCATCAATCCATCATTCGTTCATCCATCATCCATCCCCCACCAACCATACATCTATCCATCCACCTTTCCATCGTCCATCCATCAACCCGGTCACCAACTCCCTTGATCAGCAATGATATATCTGTCCATCCATCACCCGTTCCCACATCCATCCATCCGTCCATCTACCCACCTACCCATCCATCTGTCCATCCATCACCCATTCCCACATCCATCCATCCGTCCATCAACTCACCTACCAATCCATCTGTCCATCCATCACCCGTTCCAACATCCATCCATCCGTCCATCTACCCACCTACCCATCCATCTGTCCATCCATCACCCGTTCCAACATCCATCCATCAATCCATCTACCCACCTACCCATCCATCTGTTCATTCATCGCCCGTTCCAACATCCATCCATCCGTCCATCTACCCACCTACCAATCCATCTGTCAATCCATCACCCGTTCCAACATCCATCCATCCGTCCATAAACTCACCTACCAATCCGTCTGTCCATCCATCACCCGTTCCAACATCCATCCATCCGTCCATCTACCCACCTACCCATCCATCTGTCCATCCATCACCCGTTCCAACATCAATCCATGCGTCCATCTACCCACCTACCCATCCATCTGTTCATCCGTCACCCGTTCCAACATCCATCCATCCATCCATCTACCCACCTACCAATCCATCTGTCAATCCATCACCCGTTCCAACATCCATCCATCCGTCCATCTACCCACCTACCCATCCATCTGTCAATCTATCAACCGTTCCCACATCCATCCATCCGTCCATCTACCCACCTACCCATCCATCTGTCCATCCATCACCCATTCCAACATCCATCCATCCGTCCATCTACCCACCTGCCAATCCATCTGTCCATCCATCACCTGTTCCCACATCCATCCATCCGTCCATCTACCCACCTACCCATCCATCTGTCCATCCATCACTCGTTCCCACATCCATCCATCCGTCCATCTACCCACCTACCCATCCATCTTTCCATCCATCACCCGTTCCCACATCCATCCATCCGTCCATTTACCCACCTACCAATCCATCTGTCCATCCATCACCCGTTCCAACATCCATCCATCCGTCCATCTACCCACCTACCAATCCATCTGTCAATCCATTACCCTTCTAACATCCATCCATCCGTCCATCTACCCACCTACCCATCCATCTGTCCATCCATCACCCCTTCCCACATCCATCAATCCATCCGTCCATCTACCCACCTACCAATCCATCTGTCCATCCATTACCTGTTCCCACATCCATCCATCCGTCCATCTACCCACCTACCCATCCATCTGTCCATCAATCACCCGTTCCAACATCCATCCATGCGTCCTTTACCCACCTACCCATCCATCTGTCCATCCATCACCCCTTTCCACATCCATCCATCCGTCTATCTACCCACCTACCAATCCATCTGTCAATCCATCACCCGTTCCAACATCCATCCATCCGTCCTCTACCCACCTACCTATCCATCTGTCCATCCATCACCCGTTCCAACATCCATCCATCCGTCCATCTACCCACCTACCAATCCATCTGTGAATCCATTACCCTTCTAACATCCATCCATCCGTCCATCTACCCACCTACCCATCCATCTGTCCATCCATCACCCCTTCCCACACCCATCCATCCGTCCATCTACCCACCTACCCATCCATCTGTCCATCCATCACCTGTTCCCACATCCATCCATCCGTCCATCTACCCACCTACCCATCCTCTGTCAATCCATCACCCGTTCCAACATCCATCCATCCGTCCTCTACCCACCTACCCATCCATCTGTCCATCCATCACCCCTTCCAACATCCATCCATCCGTCCATCTACCCACCTACCCATCCATCTGTCCATCCATCACCCGTTCCCACATCTATCAACCGATCTATCCATCCACCATCCTCCTATCCATCCATCACCTATTCCCCACCATTCATCCGTCCATCTACCAACCCACTCAACTGTCCATCCTCTAATCCAGGCATCAATCATCATCATCATCATCCGGGGCAGTCGGGTAGCCTAGTGGTTAAAGCTTTCGCTCGTCACGCCGAAGACCCGGGTTCGATTCCCGACATGAGTGCAATGTGTGATGCCCATTTCTGGTGTCCCCCGCCGTGATATTGCTGGAATATTGCTAAAAGTGGTGTAAAACCATACTCACTCACTCACTCACTCACTCACGCATCATCATCATCCATCAGTCCGGCCACACCCTCCTCCGTCCACATAATCATCTCCTCCATCTATAAATCATTAAAATGTATCTCTGTCTAAAAGGAAACAAACACACAAAAATGAAGCCACAAATCAGTGTGACGTTAATGACAATAGCTTAACTATAATGACAAATACATGTAATGCATAAACTTCCACCTCTGAAATATTTTACTATCCCCACATCTCAATAGTCAGAAAAAGATCATATATATTATGTAATTCATGATGAAATACTATATTTATCGGAAAATATGAAAACAATCTTAAAGGAGATTACAGTAAACTATAAATATGTGATAAAATCATTTATAAAGCATTTAAGACAAGTATCTCGAAGACACTAATTCGAAAGGCAATATTAGCGACAAAAAGTTTTTTTAACTACTTTAAATCTGCTTCAGTGGAATTGTGGTTTTAAGAATACGACCATGAAGATCAGAGGTAATAGATAAAATATGTGTCTTTTCATGTTGATCCATAAGAATAATATTTGACAAGAAAAGTCAAATATCCTCTTTCATATGCATGATCCAACCATCTGACCCTTGTGTTTCAGCACCTAAAGGTAGACATCTGGATTCAGTACACGTGGTCCTCAGAGTGATGGCGATGTTTCACGTTCTTGGAGACATCATTCATAAACTCAGTTCTACTGCCTCTTGTCCTTTTGATTCATTTCAGTAACACACAACCCTGACGGGTAAAATATAACTCGTGACGGATCGACCATTAAATTTTCATACGTTACGAGTGGTGGTGAAGCAAAGGTGTATACCTCAAAACCACTCGCACAATTAAAATGGATCACACAACAATCTAACTGCAGTTGAGAAGAGTTTATTAATTCCACACTAAGAATAATTCATTGCCCGCAATACTGGCTTACATAATAATAACAAAGGGCATCCTAGCAATAATGTCGGCAAAGCAATATGGAATTTTTAAAACACAAAGTGACCACATACATGTATATCTTGCTGCCAATGATAGCGTTACGAGCCCATCTGGTTTAACCTGCATTATAACACTACGACAGGTTTATTCTCTTGTTAGTTGTCAATTCTCTTCAAAACGTGTCAAACCCACTTCGTAGGTTTTCACTCCTGAAGACCCTGGGCCATGGGTTTGCGATTGATACTTTTGTGGTGTTTCTTCAGAATGTACCTCGTTTGAAATATACAATGTATTTTATATCGCTACAGCGCTAACTTGAGGAAATGTGCTGAATGGTTTTACTTCTATTTAATTGGGATCGAACATGCAAACGTCGTACAAACGCCAGCAAGGGATATTTTACGTCCGTTTCCTATAATGGTTCATAGAAAGTGGAAACATAAAACTGATGATAAGTGTTGTTCAGATTGTTCTTTCGGATCATAAGTCAGATAATACATCCCCCTCTGGTTTTGTTGAGAATGTAACCAAAAACCGAAAGTTTCAACACAAAAACTATTTTCTAGACAATCCTTCCACATTAAGCTGGGATAAAACGGGAATACTGTTCAAAGCGGCGTCAAACGCAACTCACTCACTTACTCACAGCATATTAAAGGGATTTAGTCCCAAAAGAAGATGTTACAAGACAAACGAGCATACTACAGAATAAATGGGTGAGGTAAGGTGAAATGGGATTTAATATTGCCTACAAAAGTATCGCACTTACATAATGACGCGCATGCACACTGGGCAGGGTAAAAACAAGTACCATCTTTTGTGGTTTGACGCAGTCGGGACCGATCCACCGACTTTCCCTTCTCCAGGCACAAGCTCTATCTGCTAGACGATGGAGGAGGTCACAGTATTAATGGAAACCAGAGGCTGGATATATGTTTATCACGTGTTAATAATGGCTGATGATGTGAAAGGGACTTTGATGAATGTATTAGCCTTTATACAGATACCAACGGTGGCGATCCCATGGTGTCGTATGCTGCGTCGTAAGCGGTGACTATGTGGATTGGGTGGTCACGATGCCACTGTATCCTGGCGGCCTGGGACGTTGTTCATAACATTAATCATTGGTTTTGTCAATCCATCTTTGGAATCGAAACGTGATTTTCCGTGTGCCGAAAGAACGCTAATACTACTCTTAAAACACCGTCCACGGTGACCCAACGATGTGCGTCGGTGATACATTACAGTGCACATGTTATATGACCTCAAACATGAGGTCATAGCATAGTCCATCTGCTCAGGTGTCAACGACTGATACAATCAAGGATTATTCACTAATGTGAATCACACACGATTGACGGCCTTAAAGGATATACCATACACAACATACCCTTTACACGAGCAAACTTAAAATATATTTTTTCATCTTTTTCTTTAAATACCACAATCTGATCAGGTATGATAAAACGTCCTAGGGTCACCTGGGACATGCCACGGTGACGTCAGCTGATAAAGCGGAGTTTGATCTCCTTGTGCTTGGAGTGTCTGTTATCCTCGCTTTCGGTAAGTAACTTAAGATTTTAGAAGTATGAATAAGTACAATTCATCCCCATTGTATACCATACACCCCAAAAAGTAAATCAATATGAACAATAAATTTCGTAATCTTGTGATCGCTCGTCACACCAAAGGCTCAGGTTCGATTCCCCATATGGTAAAAAAAGTGTGAAGCTATCTGGTGTCTCCATTACTGGAAAATTGAAGAAAGAACTAACTCACTCAATAAGAACCTGTTTTATTCACGAACGAATTTGAATTTGCAATTAAATAAGCGTCAAGTCTGTATATTTAAGTGAAACCCGGATATCATCCACCAAAGTTTCAATAAACGCATTATTTTTCGAAAATATTTGTAAGTAGTTGAAAAATAAGGGTTTTTTATTTTTAAAGAAATTTCTTGACAGTAAGGTAGTAGGGTCAAATTAAGAAACGAAGCGTTCAAAGTAAATATTTATTTCCCTTACCCTATAAATCGACAGTGGAGTTTTTTGTTTTTTATTTGGGTTATTTAAACAAATTCGATAGGTACAAACACACACACACACACACACACACACACACACACACACACACACACACACACACATTCACGCACATACACATCACATCACTATATAAGTAAATGATTTTGAACGCGACGCTAAACCTCATTTCACCTCGCACTAATCAATAAATAAGATCCCTTTTCATAAATACATATTTTGTCTTAATTTCCCAGGGGTCGTCAGCAGTGAACGGTGCAGCGGCAGTGACGCCAGCACCTGCTCCCGAGAAAACTGCGACACCAACTACCAGCTACCATGCGTCAATGACGAGTGCACCTGCCTCGTCTCTGCTTGCTTCACCGGCCAACGTGAGGCGCTGTGCACACTACTGGACAGATACCCTTTTTTTACAATACGACGAATCCTCTTAACCCGAATCCATTGTCTCGATATATCGTTTGAGACAACGTTCCCCTATTTGAACCACTTGGGCATGTGTCGAGTATGAGGCAGACAGATCATCGGTTGATCAATCAACTAAGCCACCGGGCCTGTCCACCCAATTCATGTAGTCCCTTTGAGGGTCGCGACTGTATGAAAAGCGACGTCACGTAAATCTAGCCAATCCAGATCCAAAAATTGTATCTTGATCTGACGAGGATAGGCTAGAAACACGGAATAACCACAGGATGTTCTCCATAGGTATAAGCAGGTAACGCATCAATTCAATAAGAGTAAACATATTCAGCATCAAAACAAACCAGTAAATGGTAGTAGTAGGTTTATTTCACATGTGTACATGTGTGTATCCAACAAGGTAGGAATAATTTCCATGGGTTTTCCTCCTTTCAGGATTTATTTACCTCTGAAATTAAAAAGGTACGTGAAAAGTGGCATTTTCATACTTGAATATTTAGTAAGAAATTTAACATAGAGTAAGAACTATAATATGGATGTGGATGGCGATCGCTTTGCGGAACGAACCCCTGGTGTCATCGCTGATTTTCAGTGATCCATTCATATAATTTTCACTGCAATTTTGCCTTTTACGCCCAATGAAGGAAGATGATCGACACTGATTGCTATACGTCGACGTTTTACATTTACATTATTTACCATATATCAAAACACATAGCATAGGACTGCTATAAACCGCCGTCGTATAGCTGCAATATTGCCGAGTGCGGCGTTAAACAACAAACAAACAAACAGGACTGATGTAGTGTTACTATGTGTCGAATGATTTAAGCATTACCACTGAAATGAGATGAGACAAATATGCATGCCATACAAAGACGACAGTGTGTGTATTACAAACAAATGCACGACTAAAATCATATTCCTAATATTATGTTTCACAACATTCTGAACCAACACCATCAAAGCGTTGACGTCCCAAATCACATTCAGGCTAAATTTTGACATTTGGTCCACACATAAAACCAAACAAGCATAAATAGCAAACAAATTCATCAACTATGGTTACTTACACGCCAGGTCCACCAGGGCCGACATGTGCACCACGTCCACATTGGCAGTAACCGTCTAAGCAGTGTGGCGTTCGATATGGGTGTCTCTACAGATGCAGCTGTCGCAGTCAGTGCGGAGAGTGCAATTTGCTGAAATATAAACCTCCTTCTTAACAACACAGGACAAAAACATTTGTCAGAGGTTTGAACTAGATTCCATCATTCATTTGATACAGGCTTGTATTTAAAGGGCATGGCCTATTTGCAGTTTTGTGCCAGGGTTTTGCTGACGCTGTGTTAGTAGTGGGTTTGAATCACAGATTCGCTATGATTGGGTTTTTTGTATTGCCAATGGTTTCAACAAAATGGTAATCATCTTTGCTCTGTATCATATTTGTCGTTCCTTCTACATTTGTCTAAAAAATTATATCAGCGGCGTGAAACCCAATTTGTTTATTGACTTATAGTCACCACCTTTTCTTGCAGGAGAACCTTTCCAGATGCCTAAATAAAACGTTCACATGTGAAATTTGTTGCCTGCAGTTATTATGGTCACTATTTTGTAAACTGACTTACCTGTGATGCAGCTATATGCTGCAACCAGACAGCTACATGTGCCATGAGAGCAGGCAAGCCTTCCGGTACTATCACATACCGTGTGAGTACAGTCGTTGTCATCCCTGCAGGGCTCGCTGTCGATCACAGCTGAACTAAAGAAACAATATCTCATTACAAGTTGGGGGCACGTGATCCTGTTTGGGGGTCACAGGTAAAGGCTTTAAGCACAGTTTGTGGAAGAAAGCAATTGGATGGCTGAGCGTGTTTGGCAGCCTTGATTCCTAAGAGTTTCTTGGACCTGCCCAACACTGTAGCAAATGTAGTAAGGGTGGTGTTTTCCAAAGGCAAGTGCCTTTGTTCGAAACATGCCTCTGTTCACTCAGCAGTGATTGGGTTCCCCTTTCGGTGAGGTGGTTATGTGAATATTAGTCTTCTAGTGCCTCATAGGCAGATCAGGTTATATATTCTCCAGGGAGCTGAAATGAGTGCCCACGGATATATTTCCCAGAGTCATAATAGAACGCATTGATACCCAGCATGGAAAAAGGCGCAATGCAAATTAATAATATCATCTATGAATATTATGAACTATTATCATTATAAAAAATACATGTACATAACAAATCTCATCGGCTAACGTAGACACTAACTAAACTATGAAAGCCGTTAGTATCTTCAACTCACCAATAAT